AAATCGAATCACAGAGTAGGCCGTACTTGACCAACTGAAAAAAAGCTTTTTTGAACAGAAGGTATAATTTTGCGATTATCTAGCCAAACATATAGTTTTTCCTTTACGAAATTTTTGGATTTTATCACAAGACGCAGAGATACTGATGGGAATGGGGCGGTATTCTAAGACAACATTGGAATGCTCGCGTTTTGGTATAGCTGCTATAAAGGCTTCCTTCCAGATTTAAGGAATCTCTCCAGGTGAAAAAATAAGCGACAAGGGAAAAGCAAGCGTCAGAGCACACTTTCGATATGAGACTGATGGAACGCCATTGTATGAAGTGGAGTTTACTGGGGCCAGTTTTCTCAAATTATTATAGACTTTATCAGGATCAAAAAACCGATCTATTCTAGCATTCTGAATTTCGAATCAGAGTTTGGAAAAATTTCCTGTTCAGCATCACTACCCGTTCCAAAAAAGCTAACAAAAAATATTCTAAGCACTTCCGCTTTTTCTTTGTCACTTTTCAGTGTGTTTCCATGTTCATCTTTCAAAAGAGTAATTTTATGCTGACATTTGGTTTTGTAACTGAAATACTTATATACCCTAATTTCACGCGTATAAGGAGCGGAGATTTTTTTCTAAAATCGAACAGCACAGGCACGTAATTGTTTGAAATTTTCTTTTGGTTTTTGCTCATGTAGATTTCGGATGTGATCTGAATATTTTCGGATATGATATGAGTCAAAACGAGATGGCACGCGTGTTCGGAGAGAATGCGGTATAATACTCTACATAAACGATAGTACATACCATCAACAGGTTGATACTTGTCGAAGTCGTCGTGCCAATTCATGTTCTGTAAAGCGCTATTTATTTTGGAAAAAGCAGCCCTGCGGAAGTTATAATATGGTAGAAAAGTATGCTCACGCCGGTTAAATAACGCATAAAAGCTTAGTATGCTGTGGTCTGAAAATCCAAAAAGTGTTAGTGCCTTCACGCTTTGAACTATGTCGTCCGACGAAAATATCAAAGATCAATTGCTGTCCTTCCTCTAGTAGGAAAGGTCACATTCTGGCGGAGGTCACAATCATGGAAGAAAGAAGATCCGAGTTAGCTTCGTAGGAGACAGGATAGGATGTCAATGTTGAAATCCCCTAAAATTATGGTGAAATATGGAGTGGAGCAGAGATCATGAATAGATTTTGTCAGATTGTCATCGCTAGAAGTGCAAGAAGGTGGTCGGTATCATAACTTATAATAACGGGCTAAGTGTGTGCGTGTTCGAGTTGCTAACTTCCTGATTCTTCCTGTCCTCAACAATGTAGCTTCAAAAGCTGGGGTTTTTGATTGCCTCATCGAAAGCACAGATAATACTGTCATAATGACGTATGGGCAGCAAACAATGACAGATCAATGTTATGAGCGCTGCCATCACGTCAGTAGTATCGCAGTCCAGCAGACGATGTTGTATACCTGTGTGTGTGTGTGTGTGTGTGTGTGTGTGTGTGTGTGTGTGTGTGTGTGTGTGTGTGTGTGTGTGTGTGTGTGTGTGTGTGTGTGTGTGTGTGTGTGTGTGTGTGTGTGTGTGTGTGTGTGTGTGTGTGTGTGTGTGTGTGTGTGTGTGTGTGTGTGTGTGTGTGTGTGTGTGTGTGTGTGTGTGTGTGTGTGTGTGTGTGTGTGTGTGTGTGTGTGTGTGTGTGTGTGTGTGTGTGTGTGTGTGTGTGTGTGTGTGTGTGTGTGTGTGTGTGTGTGTGTGTGTGTGTGTGTGTGTGTGTGTGTGTGTGTGTGTGTGTGTGTGTGTGTGTGTGTGTGTGTGTGTGTGTGTGTTCGCGTTGCTAACTTCCTGAGTCCTCCCGTCCTCAACATTGTAGCTTCAAAAGCTGGGGTTTTTGATTGCCTCATCGAAAGCACAGATAATACTGTAATAATGACGTATGGGCAGCAAACAATGAAGATCAATGTTATGAGCGCTGCCATCACGTTAGTAGTATCCCGATCCAGCAGACGATGTTGTATACTTGACACAAATATCAAAACATTTTTTTAACAACGGGTACTCAATTTCAATACTAGTTCGGAAATTTCGAATCGTTTTAGATTGGTAAATGTTTTCAAACGGTTAAGTGGATCTATGTTTACAGTTTACTTAGGAAAATTCGAATCAAATTCAAAAGCTTGAATAAACGAACATCGACTGAATTTTAGTCATGCGTATGCTCTGCTGTACTTCCAGAGTTTCACACTTTTCTCAGTGGGGATATGGTCAGCTAGCCTCCGCCCGTAGGCTCGCTGGCCTTCAAAAAGGGGATCCAAATTCTTGAAGATAGGTTATGCCAGCAGACTGTGATTTAATGTCTTCTGCTCCTAATTTATGCAGCTCTTGATCTGAAGAAGACAATGACTTTATTGAGATTAGCTGACTATTGTTTGAATTTATTGTCACTTTGTTTTTGACTACGTCAGTATTGGCACACCTAGAGTGTAATACAATAAACAATAAACAGTAAAAAATGAGCATTTTGAATGAACTAATATCTGTTATATTCGAACAATGGGGGTGATTTCCTATTAAATCGAATGATCTATTCGAATGGCCAGAATTTGGATAAGCCATTTGATGTATAAATTTTCATAAATTTATCCGAATATCTTGATGAATATTCGAATACCTAAAACTTGCTGATATACCTGCTCAATCATTGTGGCTTTGCATCAAAGAATGATTCGGATACGAATTCGAATGAAATGTTCAATAAAACATTCAGAGTTTTGTTCGAAACCTCTTTTATTATCCGAGCTTTTGACTTGTATTAGAGCTCCCTTTTAGCTCCTTTTTCCCCATTTGAGTTTTTTTATTCAAAAAGTGATAACTCCTAATATCGAAATTTGAATGCATATCGAATGTCTTACTGTTGAACGAAAATCAGAAAAAGTCGACTTGGGAAACAGTAGTTATTGTGCCTGTTTCGATGAAAAAAAAAAGGCTAAAAAAGAAGTTGTGTAATCTTCACAGCCAGAACACAAAGCTCTTAACAATTTGATTTCGGAAGGAAGTATTTCGTCGTTTTTTTACATGGTCGCCACAGTGGCGGTCCCAGGATTTCCGTCCGGGGGGTGGGGAGGGGGGGGGGGAGGTTAAAAGAATTTTTTTTAAATGAAGATGCGCGGCGTCAGCCACTCCGAAAAAATTTTGGAGGTGCTTCTCAAAATTTTTGCCGGTCCCCAACCCATAAAATCTGAAAAACCGAAAAAAAATTTTTTGAGGCTAATGTGAATTTTTGAAATTTTGAAAATTATTCTAATTGCACACAAAAATAAACAAGTCACTTGCACATTTTTATAACCCACGCAAGTAAATTTCAAAAACTTCGCGACCCGTTCTCGGGGGAGGGGGCAGCCCTCGCTCCCCCGGTCCGCCACTGGGTCGCCAGAACATGACAGATAAAGATTTTGGTCTACATTCGACGCGCTCTATTCATTGGATGCTCCATTTCAAATTTATCTTGTCTAAATTTACCCTAATTTTACGAGTACAACGCACAGTTGCTTCTTTCTAAACTCTGTCAGCACTGAATACAATAAAGAATTTCGCGACCATAGAACCCCTTACGCTGCTGCTCCCTACCTAAAAGGAGTAGGAGAGCAACCTTTTCACTAGTCACAGCGGTGCGGCCGAGCTGCTTACTTATAAGGAAAGCTACTTAACTCAGCTCGGCCTTTTGGCAAGAGACATATATAGTCTGAATCAGCTTCAAACACTGATTCCAAATATGCTATTCATAGCTGCCACGCACCATTCCGAAGCGAGTTATGGGGTTTTTCCTGCGCAAAATTGGCATGCTCACCTACTCACGGGCATCACGTCATCATCATTTAAGTGCTGATACGCCTGCATTAAGCTTTCTTTAGTGAGAAAAGATTGGATTTGTACTATTTCGATACCTCAGCACCTTTTTCTTGCAGATTTTTATCTACAGGCAGTGTGCTCGTGATATTGGAGTGGTACATTCTGTTATCGTGACCTTCAAAATCGCTGTCCTAACTCTTAAGAGTAGGAAGGCAAGCAGATAGAGTAAACCTCACTAGTAATGGTTATTCAGATATCACTATTGTTCTTTGTGTGCTCTCAAATGTTCTTCAATTAGCCAATTTTCATAGGCTGTCTCCGCATATCGACTGCTGACCCAGGTATTTTTCGATGAAATATGTGCGCCGATTATGCTCAAGGTATTTGTCTATCATTATTCTATGTGACAGGCATGAACTTTAGGGCCTTCAATGGTTAAAAGTAATAGACAAGCTGAACAATGTATCGTTTATTGAAATGAGTAGTGCCCAACAAGCTTCAATCACACAATTTTATGAACCGCAATACCCGGAGAAGGAGGTATGCGTCTGGTGCAGTTCTCTTCATTATTTCGAGATCTTGGCTTTGATATTTTGAAGATATACCAAGGTTTTCACTACAAACCTGCTAAAATGCCAATTTCAACGATATCTGTATGCTTCTGGACAAGATTATTGCTCAGAAATGGAACAGCTTTAGCTCGTACAGTCACATCCATAATTCCAGATTCACTAACATAAAATTAGTATGAATTGAAAATTAACTTCTCAATTCGAAATTTTGCTCTATGTGTTGTTATCTCACCTTTGTTAAAGCAGCGAATCCAAAGAGGATCCGAAGAGTGAACGAAGCGTATACGTAGCGAAACGTGTAAAAGCTGTGGCTCTTTTACAGCCGATTGTGCTGTCGCAAATCTTCTAGACTGTGCTGAGGGGCTACTTCTATTTGAAATGTGTCCACTTCAAGCCCATTTTGCGAGCGAAAATGTAATCTGGAGCTCATCGCTTGATCACTTATGTAAACAAATATGTGCGACAAATAATCATATTTACAACATCTGCCAAGTTTATCTGAACTACATTTTACTATATTATTACTGACTGTTAGAATATTTTTTGGAACATGTTTATTCCAAAATCTGCATGTAAGCGGTGATGATAGGTCATTACTAGGATTCTCCTAGACCGCCATCTAAGTCAGAAGTCGGGAGGCTTCCTCCTCTGTTGTTGGTAGCTAAACTCTCTCCGCGCGCCTCCTCTTCATCCAAACCAGGCCCACTTAATTTTTGCATCTTAAGCAAGGGATCTTGGCTTTCCGTGTCGGTAAATTGTTGTTGTTGTTGTTGTTGTTGCTGCTGTTGTTGTTGTTGTTGTTGTTGTTGTTGTTGTTGTTGTTGTTGTTGTTGTTCTCTCTCCTTTTGGGAACCGCCAGGTGAGCTCAGTTCGGCTTTTCCCTCCATGGAGGGATCGCCAGGTAAGCGCAGTTCGGTTCCCGTTTTCTCGGGGGAATTGGCAATTCGGCTCTGTTCGAGTGATTCCCCATCCCCGCGGGAACCGTGGGATGGGCTCAGTTCATCTTCTCTCTCCTGGGGGGGACCGCCAGATGGGTTCTGTATACCTTCTCCTCTCTTTTCGGATGAAACGACAGATGATCTTCGTCCGCTCGATTGTCCCTTCTCGGGGGGGTCGGCAGGTGAGGCTGGTCTCCTACCGGGCTGACTTACTCTACCCTCGCGCTGGTTTTTTCGGCCGGATGCTTCCTGAGGCTTTCCCTTCTTTTTATCTTCATTGGGCGTAAACGTGAAGGCACATTTAAGTGTGCTACCGCCGATGCAACCAATGTTAAAGTATGTAATTCCACCAATCTTTTGCTGAAATGAAATAAATTGTTCCTGTTACGCTAAATTATAACACTTGAATCTGGTGAATTTTAGCGTGAGCGTTCGGTGCAACGTAGACTTTTGAACAGATTGGAAATATTGGTGTTGACGCGCGTGTACTAGAATGAGAATGATTGAGCGTACATCATGATAGGCGATTCGTAGCACGCAAAGACTGTGGACATATCGGCGTCTCACTGATCGAGCGCTTTTTTTCTCCTACCATCTGTTATCTGTCCCATGCACAAACTATCTTGGCCGGACGCAATGACGCCCAGCCTTTGCGTGTCATGAATCATACGTGATTCGATCTCACAAATCAAAGATACTCTTCACCCTTAGTTGGAGGTTTTGAGCTTTTGGCAGCTTACAATAGTAGGATCCCCTATGCAGCCGATGCCCAGGTCGCGGCTCAAACTGTCGCTTCGGAAGCGAGAAAATCGCTAAAATATCAAAGAGGCACGAAGACGCTATCGGCACGCTCCCCCTCCCCCTCCCCAGTAATGCCCACCTATCCGTGCGCGCTCATCCAATCACCGTTCCGGACGTGCCCGCGGGTTCATCAAAACAGGGGTTGTCGTGTTTTTCGCGGATTTTCGACTTCATATTCGGAATCAGGGACATCAGAAGAACCCAAAACGGCCAAAACATTTAAGGCGAAAATCTGGGTGATATGGAAATGAAAGCGTTTTAGCGGTGCGTCGCTTAGTCCGTGAGGTTGATGAATTACTCATAGCCTCAGACTCAGCAGGATTGGCTGCTGGAGGGCGGGGCTGTCTGGGGTCTGTAGTTCTTTCGTGCGCGTGCTCTCTAATTGCTCTCCCATCGCGAGCGTGGGGAAAGCGGAACTTTAGAGCCCGGAGATGCGGCCGTGAAAATACGAGCCTCACCCATCAACCGCCAATCATGTTGAGTTAGAGGGTACTTAATCAAGCTTTTACTCATGTTTAAAACTGATTGAACCGGAAAGGACAATGATTTGTAAGGAATTATATCACTGTTTCCTACTTACCGCTTTCTGCAGATCTTTTTTGATTTGGTCGGCCAACCAACGTAAGTCTGCATTTCGATCTCTGTATAATTGCAAAATCTTGAAGAATTTTTTTTCGAAGAACGTACTTTCCCAAATTGACTTGACGATATTTGAAATCACAACCTTGCTTGACGCGTATCTCATCATTCATAGCGCAAACGGTTCTTCTTAGCGAGTTCGACACAGTCTAAAGTAAGGTTTGATTTGAGATGAGTAATGATTTTCAGCGAGTTTTCGGTGTCAAAACTAAAATCTGAAAGATCAAGGCTCCATGATATTAGCTTCACATGGATTTCATTTCTGCTCGTACTTGCTTATTAGTAAAAAAACGCTTGTTTTCAATGATTTCATTGCATATATGTTTCTCGGAATTGAATGGCAGCTAATCAAGTCAATTTATGCGTTCTTGTATAAACTTAAGTTATGGCGTCGCAGTATATTAGACCAACCATGTTATAGACGTCCGTGAAATGTTTGCCGAGTAATTTCTCGTATGATGCTGAATCATCGTTGAATGTGCCTTCATTGATATTACACTTAGAATATCGACCAAACACTTTCTCGTGTTCTTCGGCTACTTTGCACTTTTGAGTCCTTTGACCTTTTGACGACAGCACCGTTTCTATCTAAATCTGACCAGAAATTCATAATTAAAGAGTAAAAATTCAATTCTTGGGACTTACAAGAAGCAAGAAAATGCAGAGATGCATCGGTTTGTCTGCTGCTTGTGTACTCACGAGCCTTTTATAGGATTGACGAACGCTTGAGTGAATTGCCTAATTGTATCGTATTAAATTTACTCGATTTTTGGACTGAGGACACCTCGATTATTACGACGCTTCTTGTAAACTTTCAATGAACTTTGTAGATGTGTAAATGCTTTCGAACAAAACTTATCATCTACAGGTCAATTGTATGCAAAGACAATGTGCCACTAAGTACACTTTCTTTTAAATTAAACGCACTTTCATCCGTCTCATTTTGCTCTCTCTTTTCATCCCTAACTCAAGCGATGAATTCCTTGGCTCGACACGATTTTATTTTTTGATTTTGAGCCAAAATGACCAGAGTTGGAGCTGTGCTATCTTTTATCTTCCTTAAAGTTAGTCACCAACCTAATTTCTATGATTCTACATGCTAATCACCTGAAGCGCTCTAAGTAAGAAAAGTAGTAATAATCATGATTTGCAGCCAAAAATGGTTATCACGATATGCCTTTGGTGGCAGCTTGCACTGAAAAAAAATAGGATAACCCATCTATGAAAGTATTGGGTTGTCTTATAAGTTTTTTTCAATTTTGATTTCTGACTGCATAAATTGTAAGCTTCTCAATATTAGTCGAGTTAAAGGGTACCCTTCCATAGAGGAAAGCAAGCTCTATAAGATGACATGTAAAATTTTGCACCAGCCTTTGTACACCTTGAACTAGAGGTCAAAATCTAAGAAGTCTTGGATGCTAATAAATTGAAAAATTTATATCTCTCTCAAAAAGGATATAGGATTTCCCACAACCTCACGCATATACACTTCACATTAAACACTCATACATACCTTTGGTGCATTTTTTTTTGTAAGCTAAAAACTGAAAAACGAAAATTTTTTCATGCTCTGAAAAGCGATGCTGTGCTGTTCCATAGGTTAACATACTACAAGTCTTTGAGAATATAACCGTAGAATTTCAGCTTCCCGCATGCTAGTTCTCGAGAAATATCAGATTTAGCTTTTGTTGTTTGGGCCTTTGATGTTAAAAAAAATTTTTTTCTGGAAAATTAGAGCTTGTGGAAAGTTGAATATTTGCGGCTATACTTTTAAAGGCTTGTAGTATACATGTACTTATGTGGAAAACAGCCCAGTATCGCTTTTCTAAAAGCATTAAAATTTTCTTGCTCAGATTTTAGCTTAGAAAAAATGCAGCAAGTGAAGCGTGCATGCGTGAGCTAATGGGGAATTAAGTTCCTTTCTAGAAAAATATGAATTTTCAATTTTTTGAGCATCCAGAACTTCTTAAATTCTGGCTTCTAGCTCGAGGTGTACTAAAGCTGGTGCCTACCCTTACATGTCATCTTATAAAGCTTCCTTTCCTCTATCGAATGGTTCCATGCTTCTTAAAAGCGTACAATTTGTTGCAATGAGAAATCAAAACTGAAAAAAAAATTGTGAGATAAACTAATACTATTTTCCTCTCATCTTCTTGCCTACAAATCCTAAATTGCGAAGGTTCTTTTCGTCTTAATGAAAATAGTCGTTGTTGAGTTGCTAAATCAGCCTGACATGATGCGCAATCTTGAGTTCGAAGATCGTTCCTGCTGATCGTTCTTCGCAGTAAAAGTTAGCAATGGTATGGGATAGTCAAGTAGAACTTAAAGGCTACAGTTGCTGCAGTTGCTCTGACTTTTCCTACCTCCTTGACAAGAACTCTCTTGATGACTTCTCTCGAATAGACGAATCTCAGTTAAAGACGAGGGCAGACTCATTTTCAGTCTGCTAAAACGAGTCTTTTGGTGTTGCAAATATCCGCTCGTAGGTATGTTACACGAAGTTTTATGCCAGTTTGACATCTTCAGTTTTTTTTGTGGGCATGTCAGTGCAAAATACTGACATGTTTTACAGAGTAGTTTTTCGAAATAATTCTTCGATGCTACGTAGATCTGGATCGCGTTTCAGCAATAGTGCGCATTCTTTAACTCCTGCATCCATGTCCCTGACCCTCAGTGGAGTACCCAGAATTTCCGCTCGGGGGGAGGGGGGGGGGGGAAGGGTACGCCACTGCAGGGAACATACCGACTTAGGGCCGCATGCACTAACATCCCCGCGGGGAGGGGATCGCAGCTTAAAGAAAGCTTTATATTTCGAAACTCCAGATACCTGGATTTCACGTTGTGTACCTATCCATAAGTATTCCTATTACCCTTCACTATGAACATGTTGAACAGGAGCGAGAAGCCGTACAAACCGCATTTTCCAGCTTTTGTATGATCCCTGATGATCCCTGGCGCTTTTCTTCAAAGTCATTTTTCTTTCTCCGAAGTTAACGAAGAATCTCCAGAGTTGTGCAGATTGTCTAACCCGACAGTGCTAAGCATGTTGCTGCTAAGAACAAATGATGTTTTGAAGTCATGAAATTTGCGATGATCCACAGGTCGAAATTTGAGGCTTGCCGAAAAATTCGACTTTTCAAAAAGTCATTTGTTCTCGTCAGCAACATGCTTAGCAGTATTGTGTTAGATGTTCAGTACAACTTTGGAAGGTTTTCATTAACTTCGGAGAAAGAAAAATGACTTTAAAGAAAAGCGCCGGGGATCATCAGGGATCATACAAAAGCTGGAAAATGCGGTTTGTACAGCTTCTCGCTCCTGTTCAACATGTTCATAGTGAAGGGTAGTAGGAATATTTACGGATAGGTAGACAGCGTGAAATCCAGATATCCGGAGCTTCAGGATATGAAGCTTTCTTCTGAAGCTGCGATCCCCTCCCCGCGGGGATATTAGTGCATGCGGCCCTTAGAGCCGCATCCATTGACATCCCTGCTGTGGAAGGGGTCGCAGCTTAAAAAAAGCTCCAAATCCTGAAGCTCCAGATACCTTGTTCCACGCTGTTTTTCCATCCGTAATTACTACTTCTAAGAGCGAGAAGCTGCACAAACCGCATTTTCCATCTTTAGTATAAACCCTAATGATCCCAGCGCCCGACCGTCTTCGTTCCAAAGTCATTTTCCTTTCTTCGAAGTTAGCGAAAACATTCCAAAGTTGTACTCTCCAGCTAGTCCAACAGTGTTAAGCATGTTGCTGATAAAAACAAATGATGTACTGAAGTCATGAAGTCCCCCACAATGGTCGGTCGCCTCATCGTGGAGTGGGGGTGACACTGGGTGTTGAACTGCGATGCACAGCCGAGTGTATACTCTGGTAGGGCCTCCCAAGCTGTGGAGGAGTTCGACGTTTCCGATTTCGGCCGGATGCTTAGCTAAGAACCGGCCACGCCAGATCCCCCGCCGTCTGGCTTCTCCTGGTCGCTAGGCGGTCCCTCCCCGATCCAAGCCCGGGGTCAGCGATCGCCCCGTGGAAATCAAGATAGGCCTAGTAAGCCACCTTTTGTAGGAAAAATTCATATTATTCCTCCAGTTAGAAGATTAGAAAGAAACCCTGCACATCGTATCCCGCCTACGGCGCCGGGTGGTAGCAAGAACGATGTCAGGGTACTCAGGGCGCCTTTCGGATTGAACAAAAACGACACGTCTGCCCGAACGACACGCCATGGAGACTGCCTCATGCTCTGCACCTACAACGCCAGGACAGTCTCCACAAACGCCGACCTCCACGCTCTCCTCGACGCTGCAGAGCACATCAACTACCACATCATCGCTCTGCAGGAAACGAAGTCCAGAAAGAAGGACGTGCGACAGATGAGTGATGGGACCCTCATCATTCGTGGTGAAAAAGTTCCATCACGAAACGTGGGAGGCGTCGGCTTTGTCGTCCACCCATCTATCGTCCATCTTGTAGATTCGCACGAGATCCTATCATCTCGACTAGGCATCCTACGGCTACGCCCTCCACGTCAGAAGACCATCAGCATCATCAACTGCTACTCGCCAACATCAGCAGCTCTGACGACTTAGAACTAGATGCTTTCTACGAAGACGTGGAGGAGGTCGTCCGCAACGAAAACTCCTTCTATAAGTATGTTGTTGGCGACTTCAATGCGAAAATCGGGGTGCCACTAGAAAAGGAATATAGGATTGGAAAGTTTGGATATGGGCTCCGAAACGAAAACGGCAACCGTCTCGTTGAGCATCTCTCCGCCGCACGACTCTTCCATGGAAACTCTATCTTCATGAAGAAAGAAAATCGCCGGTGGACTTGGGAATCGCCCAACGGAACGACTCATGCTGAGATCGACCACATTCTCACCAACCGAAGGTGGAGCTTACTCGATGTCTCTATAGTTCCATCCTTCTGCAGTGGCTCCGATCACCGCCTCCTTCGAGCGAAGATACGACTCAGCCGAAGGAAGAGAAAGTCTGTCATAATGCCGCGAGAAGGAAGGAAGTCGTTTATGACGGTAACAGGCTGGAAGAGTTCATATCAAGTTGTGACTGGCCCATCGAGGAGGACCCAACCTGTGACTACGACCGGATTCTGAAAAGATTGCGAGCCTGCGGAGAGTGCGCCTCAGTGACTTCCGAGAAGAACGTGGAACGCATTTCGAAGACCACCAAGGAAATGCTCGACAGAAGATGATTTTTGAAGCAGGATTCGAATGCAACCCATCTCGAGCGACTGATAGCCAACGCCAGTTGCAGAACAGCTTTGCAAGAGGATCTCAGGAAGTACAGGCAAGCCAAGATACTGGAAGCAGCCGAAAGAATACAAAGTCTCAAGAAGTGCCGAAGGGACCTCTGCGAATATCACGTACGGGTGGCTGCACTACTGAACGAAGACGGGACTCCGACTTCTTCTCGATACAAGATGGAATCTATCGCGAAGAACTTTTACATCAACCTCTTCCGCTCATTACCACCCCTGCAGATGCCCGTTGTTCCCACTGGAGAAGTACCACCACAAATTCTACCTGCTGAAGTGCGCACGGCGATTCAGACCATGAAGACATCCACGGCTCCAGGACCAGACCATCTTTTGGTCGAATTTGTGCGAGCGGAGGACAATCTACAGAAATTCTCGCGTCGCACCTGACATCTTACCTTTAAAAG